CGGCCCAGTCCCGCCCCGCCCCGCCCTCCTGCAGACTGAGTGAGAAAGCCGTGTCTGCGACGGTCTCTTAAACTTTAAGCCTCTCACCTTCTTTCGAATCGCTGGGGCAGTAGGAGTCCGGGTTTTTTCTTTTCTTTTCTTTTTTTGTTCGGGCTTTTTTCTTGTTGGTGATGTAGCCGAGAGAAGAGCCTTGCTCCACCTCTCAATTTGGTCTACTTAACAATGAAAACATCTAGCCCTTTCAGGATTTTGCCCAAGGAATACGCATCAAAGCGCTTTGGATACTTCAAAGATAGTCTGTCTTGATTGTACCGTGTTTCTGTGGTTTCTAACAACCCGTTCGGACCCTAGGTTGGCTATATTAATGGAGTGGCTACAACGCCCTAGAAGTCCCGCCCTTGACAGCCCCTGTAAGTTCCCTAGAGCCCTCCACTTAATTGTCTTGGACCCATTTCCCCAGTCTAGAAAACGAGGAAACAAGACTGGAAGATTTCTGAGGCCTCTTCAAACTCTAAATTGTCATGGCTGAAATCAATTAAAACATTCTAGATGAATTAGAGAGAAAAGAGAACCCGTAAATGAATGGAGGAATTTCAGAGAAATGCAAGTTGACATTGAGGTACTTTCTCCCTTTGGTATAGAGATTTTATAATGATCCCATGTACTGCAAAAAAATGAGTTGAAACTCCGTATTTCACAATAGTACAACCCATTTGGAGAGTGATTTCATCAGTTTACATCAGGAGTCTTATTTACCCTTCACCACTTCACTACTTCAAAACCTATCATAAGGAAACCTAGTCCAGGCAGACACCAGATAAGTTCATACTGTATAGCACAGGGAACTATATTCAACATCTTGTAGTAACTTATGGTGAAAAAGAATATAAAAACAAATATGTATTTCATGTATGACTGAAGCATTATGCTCCAGAAATTAACACTGTAAACTGACTATAGTTAAATTTAAAAAAACCTACCATAAATGTATGATCCAAAATGTGACCCAAATGACATAAAGATGCTGTAGAACATTATTTAAAGTAATGTATGTATCATTAAGTGGAAAGAGTATATCAAATTCATTGAGCATTAATAGAAAGCAACGTCACCCCACATCCCATACATTGCTAAGCCCTTGTCCCCGAGTGTCTACTGGATATAATCTTCTGCTTAAGATTGATGTTTTAAAATAATAAATATATTGGTAATATCTTAACCTGCATGTTTATAAATAAATCAACAAGGTCTGTAAAATGTGGCCAAATACCAGAAAGGTTTTTGGTTGGTGAACCAGCTACAGTTTATTCCTTAGAATGCCCCCTCCTCATCTGGCCAAGAGAAACCAGACGCAACTTTAAAGTCTCTATTTAACGCTAACTCATTCCTATACATTGAAAGCCTACTCCTATAATTACCCCTTTCTATCAAGTAGCATTACATTGGTAGCTGTTTGCTCCTCTTACTCAACAAGTATGTGTTGAGTGCAAGATCCTAAGTGTAGAAGCTGTGGATACAAAGATGAATGAAAGTTTCCCCCCTAAGACAGAGAATCCACCAGGAATATTGCAATATGCACCCATTTAACTACATGGCTCTCTGAATTAAGAGCTCTTGGCTGTAAACAACAGAAACCCCAGAGACCGAAGTGATTGGTAATGTAGAGTGAGCTGAAAGAATCCAGAGGAAAGCCAGCGAACCAGGCACAGATAATGGATAGGAACTGAGGGACATGGGCAGGAGGGAACATACGTGAGGTCATGTCATAGAAACAATATGGCCACTCCTGTCACCACCTCAATGAGAAATTTCTAATCCTGAATCTACCTCACTCCCTCAAGATTCCAGGTCCTCGGCAAAAATATATAATTTACCAATGACTAGGAAAGGAATGCCCGGCTCCACCTCCCACTCAGATATGTTGGGATATGCGGCAGGGGCTGCTGTAATAAATTATCAAAAATTTAGTAGCTTAAAATAACACAAACTTACCTTCTCACAGTTCTGGCAGACAGAAGTACAAGTCCTTAACCTCAAAGGGTTGGTAAGACTGCACTCTTCTGGGAAGCTCTAGGGAAGAACCCAGTCCTTACCTTTCCCGGATGCTAGGGGCTGCCCACGTTCCTGTTCTCATGGCATCACTCCAACCTTGACGTTCATCGTCTCATCTCCTCCTCTGGCTCTAAGCCTCTGCCTTCCTCTTTATAAGGACCCTTGCAGTTGCATTGGCTCCACCTGGATCATCCAGGATAATCTCATCTTAAAATCCTTAACCCAATCATACTGCAAAGGCCCTTTTGGCATATAAGGTAAGGTATTCACAGGTTTAGGAGATTAGGACATGGACATCTTTGGAGGAGCATTACACGGTTGACCACAGGCTACCCTCCACTCCAAGAGAAAAAAAAACAGCAAATGTCCAATACACTTTCTTTTAGCATGTATAATTTTATTCCTATGTCTTTGTCCCTCTACTAAATTATAAACTCTTGGAGGGAAAAAGCTCAGCCTTAAATAATTTGGGAATTTGGAAATATATATTCATATTCAAATCATATATATGTGTAGATATATAAGGTTTTATATAATATGTATTTCTCCTATATATCTATGTATCTCCTGGAATAGTACTTTGCCTATAAAATGTGTTCAATAAGTGTTTCCTAAATGAATTGCATAACCTAGTTTTGGTTTAACAGATGAGACAAATTATATTAGGGTGAATACTATGCTGCTGTAATAAAGATATCTAAAAATTCAATTGCTAAATAAACCTCATTACCTCCTCCTCCAAAAACAATAAAAAAATTAAAATTCAGTTGCTTAAAGATAGCAGCTTATGGAAGAGTGGAGGGAGAGAGATAGCTCTGCTTCATGAGGTCTTCACCAAAGACCAACATTCCTTCCTCTGCTACCTCCTAAAGCAGTGCTTCTCAAAGTTTAATATGAATATGAATCACCTGGGATCTAGTTAAAATGAAGACTCTGATTGAGCAGATCGTGGATGAAGCCTAAGATACTAACAAGCTCTGGGGAAATCACCCTTTTGAGCAGCAAAGACGTCAGGAACCTATCTTTTTCTATTTGGTTGAAAGTGGGTTGCAGGCACACCTGAGTTTTTAGCTCACAGGAAAAAGAAATGTAAGAATGGAAAGTAGAGGGTAGCAATTTCCTTCTAAAAGCAAGAGGAAGGGGAGGGATGTGCACAAATCACTTCCATTCA